CCGCCCCCCTCCCCCCGCTCCCCGTCCCTCTTGCTCGCATCCCTTCTCCCCTGGTTTCTCTCTTTCTTGCCTCTTCCTCTTCCTCTCGTGCCTCTTCGCGCTCGCCGACTGCGTTCCCACCTTTCTACGCGCTCCCTCTTCGTTCTACGTCCCTCTCCCTCCTCCCCCGCCCCCTCTCGATCGCTCTCTCTCTCTCTCTCTCTCTCTCTTTCTCTCCCTCCTCGAGAACACGAGCGCGCAATCGCACGTGTGGGTGTGCACGGTCGTGCCTCGTTGTTTCTCTCCCACGACTCGCTTCCCCTTATCTCCCCACTGGGGGGGGCGGGGCGGGGGGGCCGCCGCGTCGCGCGTTATCGCGGCGCGATATCGCGAATTCCTGCGTCTCCTCGCGACGCGCCGATTTCTGCCATGACGGTACGATCGGGAAGCACGATCTCAAGGAGTATCCCTAACGGAATGTTCGGAATAACGTAAATAACGTCTTTTTTTCCATCGGGGAGATAGAATTTTTTTTCTGGCATAAATCTTCGACGACTTATTCCGAAGAAGAATTGAAGTTGGACGTTGTGAAACAGGGGATGATTTTTACGTTTGACTGTCTCTCTCTCTCTCTCTCTCTCTCTCTCTCTCTCTCTCCCTCTCTCTCTCTCGTAATTATCTTTGAGGATTCAAGAGAGAGATTCCGTGATCGTAACTCCTACTACATCGATCGCTTCTTCCACACTTCGACATCTTCGAACGTGTAAACAAGCTTCGGCGGTCTACCTCTCCATCATGAAACAACGACACGACGCCGTTTCTTCCATGTAGAACAGCTCGCTTCGCTCGGAAACGCTCGTGCACGCTCGTGTCGATTTTACATGACCCCCCGCCTCTTCTTCGTGTCCTTCCATTCCCTCTCTTTCTGTACTTTTGTTTTTCTACGGCTCTTTAGTCCGGCGTTTTCAACTGTCTGGCGTTCCTAGCTAACTAAGTGTATTCAACTGTATCCAATATTTCTTCGATATTCAAAAAGAAGAAAAAAAAAAAAGGGAAAAATGAAGCGCCATCGATTTAGTAATAAATCAGGATGACTTTTAGTTATGGTTTTAGATTTAGTTCACAGATTTATGTTGAAAAATGAAGTTAAACAAATTCAAATAGAACTTTATTTAAGCACTGAAGATTCAGCTTGACCCCGTTTACTTCTAATTTGTTGTGTATTCACATTGTGATTTAAAAGAAGAAAAAAAAAATACTTTGTTCAATATTGTCAAATAATATTTATAGTTGGTTTAAAATCTTATTACATCGCTTCTTAATCCTCCCGAGATGCATCACTCTCATAAGTTTTCTCACAATGTCGGAAGATTAAACTACACCTAACTACACAAACACTACGCTATATCTCAACAATATTATATTACGTGTATACCTACATTATATTGTATATTATAGGTCTGACAATTTTAACAGCATTATTTACGAGCGTAGGTAGATTAAACTTTCCATAATAGCTACGCGTCTCATAATAATAATAATAAGAGGGGGGGCAAAAAAATATCGGAGTATTATACGAGAAAAACACGCTTCAAGTATTGGCGGGACGACGTCGTGCTCCAACAGTGAAGTCGCGGAGAAGAAAGGAAAAACAAAACTTGCGTCGCGAAATTGCTATGGCTCTCCATAGGTAGACGAGATGGGAGCAATAGGGGGGTCGATGTTGGTGTTGGTATCGCCGCTACCACCACCACCACCACCACCACTACCACCACCATCACCATCGTCCGCCGCCGCTGCCGTTGACGACGGCGACGGCGACGGCGACGGCGACGGCGACGACGACGGCGACGACGACGACGACGACGGCGACAGAGAGGGGATGGTTCACCAACACGTCATTGTAACTGGAGGTGGCTGATACGACGGAGGGGGTAAAACGCGGCTGATGGTGGGGCAAGAGAATACCTGCCGCCCGCGCCGTCAAGAGAAATGTTTATGTATCGGAAGGAACGAAAAGCGTTCTAGCGAGGACATTAATGGCGTGGATAGAGTCGAGTTAATAATATACAATTTTTTAGTCTTCTCCTTTTCTTTTCTTTTCTTTTTTAGAATCACTCGCAAAATGCTGGCTATCCGAACGCTCTTTTGCATTTGAAATTTAAAACGATCGAAATCGCCGAAAATGTATGACGTTTGATCTAAGAGTTACTGTATAAAAAGATGAATTTCCGCCCGTTCACGGCATGCCGATGGCCTTTTACGTGATTCGAAAAAGAAAGAAGACAGATGTTTCAATCGGTTTCAATTGAACTAACGGATAATCGATCCGACCGTGAAACTCGTCCCTTCGCGGGCGTCGTTAAGAGGACCGACGTGGATAGAGAATAGAGATGCCCTGAAAGAGGTCAAAAGGGCCGGCATGGCAACGCGCTCAGCAACAAGTTGCAGGGACGTTAATAAACGAGTCCTCCGAAAGACCGTCTCACGGATTTACCCTTAAGCCTTCCTCTCAGCTCGCTGATCTTTGCCAGCCGAGGATTTTCTTCGTCTTATTACTATATTATACAAGACGCTATCACGTTTGTGTATCTCCACTTCTCATTTTTTTAGGTTGTACACTTTTATGTACGTGTGTATGTTTCGTGTGCTGTACCACTGCAATGCGATGGTGATTCATTCAAAATAGAGATCTGAGAAAAGAAAACAGAGAAGGGACACGCGTTAAAGGAGGAAAAAGAAATGAGAGGCGCGTTTATTTGGGGGTTTAGCGGATATATACAAGTTGTTGGCCCTATCTTATTTTACCAGGGCGATTAAATATAGGAATGCGGAGCTATCTTATCCACGTACATGTTGACTGATTAGATAAGAAAAGGTCCCGCGGGTCGCCGGGCCGATTTCTTCACGCTACTAAACCCGATGAATAACGGAAAATTCGAGAAAGAAACAAGACAATAGGAAATTACACCACGTTCTTGCATTGGAAGGGGAGCTCAAGAGTGATCGAACTGAAGACCTCGAATGTCAAGCAACTCGACTTTGAATTGTGATTCAGATTGATAGCGTGATGGGCGTCAGAGGGTTAATCGTGTAACTTTTTCCCTTACGCGAAAATATGCGAAAAGTGAAAATTGTTACGCACGTATGAATGTACACACATATGTACGAAAAATTTTCACTTTTTACGTTCCCGCTTTAGGGAAAGTTACATGATTGATCCCCCTGCAGGCTGTAGGCAACATCGAGCTGCAACATTGACATCCTTGCTTTCGCGAAAATATGAAAATGAAACGCTGCACGGTCGAAGAACGGAAGAAATAAAGTTGCCTCGCGCCGTCATTTCGCCGCATGCGTGCTCAAGTCCTCACGGCAGCTTAAGGCACAAGCGGATTTTAAACATGGCGGTGCAGTAACGCGGACAGGCGCAACGTGCGTCGATCAATACCACCTTGCTTAATATCAGTTCTGAAACTCCGTACAGCCGGTACCGAGAGATAGCTGGCCTGCGCCAGCGAAGTAGGGTTAAACACATTATGGCGCGGCATCTCAGGCAATTAAGAAATATAGATTACTAGTCATCGATTATTCGACGATCCATCTCGATGGACAATAAAACTGTCAGATATTTTTTTTTATCACCGCGTCACACAGTTCGCGCAATTAGCCTTACAAGTCTCCGCACTGACGGCCCATTTGGATCCATCCAATTATAAATCTCTGTCAAAAATGTTAAACAATTCAATTTACATTTGCAAATTTGAATTATTCTTATTAAAATTTACACTTGATACTAATATCTTTTTTACATAAGCTACGTCATTCTGGCTTCCAGAAATTAATTATCCTCTAATTAACATTTAAATTAAATTACAGACCCAGCGTTAGTAACTATATTGCAGATTTTGGCGTCAGCTCCGGAGGGTTGATTTATCCTTGAATCTTTACGCTCTGCAGGAATATATCCAAGAATAAGTCAACGTGACGATAATACTCCCCGTGATTTATGTAGGGGATTTTAAAGTTAGAAGAAT